TTTTTAAAGGGGTTTTAAACCAATGGTCAGTGTTATTTTTAAAAGCTGAACAGGTCAGAAACCACATGTTCTCCAAGGTACAGTTTTACAGTTAGCAGCTGGTTTGGTTTGACCTTTAATCATTAGGTTTGTAAGCGGATGACCTGTGTAAAACTCTTATTCTGAAATGGGCAACTCCATGGGACAGTGAACTTTGCCCAGGAATTGAATCCCAGTTTTAACCACAATATTGTGTAATTGCTGTACACACCTTTTAGTAGGTAAGGTCTTTTTCAACAGCATTGACTTTTGCTGGAATTAGTAAATAAGCTGTTCTAATAATGACAGATCCACCCTATATTATATTTTACAAAGAAAAGGTAATGTTGCATGTCCATGCTAAGGTTCCTGTGAACATGGTGGCATAGTGTCAAGAACTGTGCCAATGCATTGCCCTGGCAACATCCTAATTCCTATAAAACATTGCTTCATAAACATTTATTTTTTTTTTAAGTCTCTTGAGTATTTATGTATCTAGAGGGAACAAAACCTCATCAACAGTATGTCCGGTTTTCCTCTTTCATTTTCTACTAATGTTTTATCCTTTTAGAATGCCTCTCAAAAGCTGATCTCGGTTCCTCTATTTTTTCCCAGGCCTGGAGTTTGTCTCTTGAGGATTATTTTTTTTTTAACAGCCAAAATGCTCAACCTCCAAGTTCTTTAACACTTGCTCTGGATTTAATAACACCACTGTTTACCTGCTGCCATTTATTCAACTTGCTGAAATTTTCTAATGCAAATAGATTTTTTTTCCTTGATTAGACTCTGCATTGCCCCTTCTGTAATCCAAATTTGTGTCAGTAAGGTTGTTCTGGAACACAGTACTGTTTCCCAAGCATCCATTTTACTTGAGGATTTGTGCTGAAGGGTTTTTACTCTAGAGATCTGTGTAGACAAGTGATTTACAAATGTTGCCTATTGACTAATTGTATTGATTAACTTGAGAAAGTGTCATCTGATAAGTAAAAACATTACTAATTAAATAAATTGATTTTCACAACTTTCTAAGTATTGCAGTGTAATGGTATGATGAGAGATGAGGTTTCCTCACCATCAGTAGGTCATGGTCCATGATACTTAAGTTATCTAAGTAAGACCAGAGAAGTTTTCCCCAGACAGTGGATTTTCATAGTTTTTTATAGCTTCACAGAAGCATAGCCTGTTCATTAGGGAGTTTGCCTGGAACTCAAACTGTGCCCCTGCTCAGCCTGAACACATTCAAAGTCAAGCCCTGTTTGTTCTATTCAGATTTGTGTTATGTTGGCATCATTTTACCTAAGTGTTCTACGCATGGATTTCTCCCTCTTCAGGGTTATGTTAGCACTTTGAAAAGTGTAAAGACTGGTCTGGTGGCAAATAAATGCTACAAACTTCACATAAGTCTTAGGAAGAATTCACTTCTCACCGTCCTTGGTGATGCCATGCTGTCATCACTTCTGTTGACTTGTTGCTTTACACAGCTTTAGCTGTAGTTAAACAGGATCTTGGGTGTGTATTGTGTAACTGCAGCATTTTTTAAAATGGAAAATGACATAACTTGAATATTTTTTTCAGTTTTTGAGTGTGCATAGGGCAAGAATGGATAATGTGACCATATTTTGCAAATAATATGGAACGTTTGGAAGCTAACATTTAGATGCTACTTATTATGGAATGTCATCTGGAACCAAATTGTTATTGAGCATCATTTGTTTATTTTAGCTGTTTTGTTAGAAGTTGCATTTTATAGTGCAAAAGAAACTGGTGGTGATGCTGCTGTAGAGTCTGTTACGTTAGAATGTGCCAGCAAATGAATCAGTGTTATGGAAACAAGAACCAGACATGTAAGGACTAGTTTTCTGGTTATTTCTTTTCAGGAAATTTGCCTGCTACTTTTGGTTAATTTGTTTCCTAACTCTTTTCTTTATATTTTTAGCAGTCTCATACAAATTAGACCTATTTAACTAAAAAAACCCAACACAACAACAAACCCCAACCCTCTTGCTAACTTGATTTTTCTAGTGGCCTCTGAAGCCCCTGTTTTACCTAAGTACATAACAAATCCTGTGGTTTTACTTGCCTTCCCTGAGAGTAGCCCCAGGCTATGTTCCATGACTAAAACGGAATGCTGAGGATTTCTTATGTTATTCTTTTTCTTAAATGTTATTTCAGAATTGTGGTTAGTGTAGGTGTATTGGGGAGGAAGGAGAATCTGGTTTTTTTGCAATTAGCTTCTATGTCTTACTTCCAGAATCAGTCACTGGTGTAAGTAGGCTTGTAATAAAGCAAGAGTAAAATTGAGTTGGAACCCACTTCCAACTTTTCTTTGATGAAAACCTTCCTAGTTTACTGTTGTGTGAGCTGGATCAGCATTAGTCCTAAAAATGTGTGAAGATGTATTTGATGGGACCTAAAGACAAAAGGCTGTATATTAATAAAATACCTGCATATTTGGCTATCACGAGTCATGTAGTTAGTTTCAAAAACAAAATTAAAACAAACAACAAAAAAAGACAAAGAAACCACCTTCCAAACCCCCTATGGGTGTTACTATAACAATCTATTACTCATTGCTTGTTGTATATCCTGATTTTGAAATGCCAGTAAAATGTTCAAACAATGTGAACTTAAATTCTTTTTCTATCCCACATGGATAGTTAATAACCATATTGAAAGATTGCATAAGTATTCCTGGTCATAGTTCAGATTAGCAGGACAGACATAAAGGCAGTATTTAGCATTTTTTTGCTAATTTGGCCTATCGAGGCACAAACGTTGCTCATTATCCATTATTGTAACCCACATATTTTCTTAGAAGTTAAGAACTGCCCTTAAAACACAGTAGGGACTCTTCTGAACAATGTGTAACTGTTCTGGTAAACTAAATCCTAGGCTTTTTAATATCAAAGGGCTTATCCTAGGGCCAGGACTGGATTTACTTTTCATCCTATTTTTGAAGAGTCTGATTGCAGAACTACTCCAAATGTTTCTCCATAAGGTATGTTGGAGTTCTTAAGTAGTTTGAAATAATTGCTTAGTTTCAGTTCTATACCAGAATGTCATAGTTGTAGTGAAAAACAGTAGTGAGGAAGGACTTCTGTGTCTCATTTTTGTAGCTTTGTAGTTTTACTGTGCTGTGACTTTTTTTCATTAAGATACTGGCTCTTTTCACTTTAAATGTACGTTTGTAGGTGATGATCTTTGTTTCATTACATTTTCTGTAAGCTTATTTTTGCCTAGTTATTTGTTTCCTTACTGCAATACAGGACGAAAAACAAGTATTTTGAGGTGTTTTGGAGACAGTTGGCTTGGCAGATGCTGACCCCAGTTTGAAGTAGATGACTGTTTGAGAACCAAGTATCTGCCACATAGTTTAGTTAGCTATCTGAAGTCTGGTGTAAGTTATCTTGATTAGATGGGAACTTTAAATGGTGTGTGTCCATTTGAATCAGCTGCTGTTTCAGCAAAAAAAAAATTCATACAATTGACAATTCAGTTTTTGAGTTTCCCAGCTTTGTAGTATTAAGTTGAGTGAGTCATAAGATGTTCTGTATTAGACTACTGTTACTGTTTTAAATATATATACACACACACATATATACATATATACGTGTGTGTGTGTATATATATACACATATATATAAAGCCATCCCAAAATGGGTTTGGGATGAGATTCTTTCCTTCACTTTCTCTTCCTACTCCTTTTTGCTGTGATACAGTTGGAGATTTAAGGTAATTTTGAAACCTTATAAATAAAAGCATCCAATGAATGTAATTCCAGCAGTAGGAGAAAGAAAACTGGGGACTGGAATTAAGATTTTGATTAGTCTTTTACTTCCCTTAACAGTAAATGGTCGTACAATCTACAAATACTAAAAATCAAAGAAAAATCTCTTTACCAGCTTATGAAAGAAATTTAACTGGTCTTTTTATTCATTAAGAGATCTTAAAAGCAGGGAACAAACTGAAAAGATACATCTTTTATATACATAAATACACACACACACATATATAAACTTTATAATATCTTTAAGAAAAATTAGAACAAAATTTTACCATAGAGTGTTTTTTAGATGTCATGTGCATTTACTGTCATTTGTGTGTATGTGCCACTAATGAACATTCAATAGCAATAAAAGCAAGATCAAATTTACATGTGATGGGCTGTTTCCATCACTGGTCTTCAGAACTGTACAGTCACATATGCATCTTACACCTACCAAAAAGATTATTTGAAAATCTGCACCACTAAATGTACTTGAAGATGCCATAATGCACCCTTAGGATGCCATTTAAAGCATCTGTTTTTCTCATACAGTTCAGATGTTAGTTAACATTCTGGTAGGAAAGTGAATTTAAAAAAATATAATTTCAAGTGAATCCTTGGAAGTCACATTTGGATGTGACCCCTTTCTTTGTACTACACTGATAGTAAAAGAATGCAAGAGACTAATATCCCAAGAGCGGGGTGATTCCTAAGCTAAGTTAATGGAGGAACCTTGAAGCAGTAAAATTACCATTGAAAATAATACATCCTTTTTTAAAAAAATATTTTTTTCTGTACAGAAAAAGAGAAATAGAATACATACAGCAAGTAGTTTAGCGGTCATGTGCTGTCCTGGTTGCAAAAAAGCTGCAACATGCAGTGGAATCATTAGTTAAAGAATAAATGTTACCAAGCAGAATTGGTTATTAAAAATGCCAACAGAATACTCATTAGGGAAAAGTTAACCCTTCTTTTAAGATATAGTTGGACTCCATCAAAATCATTGAGGAACAGTTCTTTGACTAGCATTTTGCAGTACTAAAAACAACTAAGAAAGCCAACTGAAATTGTAGTCAGGTTCTAAAAAATGTTTCTAGCTTTTTGTTAAATACACTACCATATGCCTGCCATTCATTATAGTGGATACAATATGTTACCATTTGCTGATTCTCTTCATGTGTAATCCATTTTGCTAATGCTGTTTTTACTCTTTCAGGAGTTCTATGAGCATACAAAAACACTTTGGCAAGACGAAGGTGTTAGAGCCTGCTATGAGAGATCTAATGAATATCAACTGATTGATTGTGCACAGTAGTAAGTCTATTCTCCTCTATATTGACTGTCATGTATAAAATTTTTAATTGAATGTCAATGACTGATGTGGATGGTCCTGATGTTTACTTGTCCTTACCTTGGAAAAGGAATGTGTGCTACGTGGGGAATTCTTGCTAATCGGATATTCAGAGAGGCAGGAAAACCTGGCATTCAGTTAGACAATAATACCTGTATTGAAAACATTGCAAATGCTTTCAACTGGTCTTAATACAGACTGACACCTTAATGCAGTGGACAGTTGTATTGTCTCAAAGACCAGTTTTCCTGCTTTTCCACTTAGACCAGTTCCTTTTCAAATGACACCTTCAGATACTGCAGCAAGTTTTACTAAGTTGGAAAGTACGTTGATGTGAACCGTCCATGTTTGTAGCTTTTGCTTTTAGTGCAGTTCATGCATCTAGAAACAAAGAGATGGCAGCCTCAGTTGCAGGCAGCAGCTTGTGGTCGGTCACCAAGACTTCTGCTCGTGTGCCTTCATGCTCATATTGAGAATGATTAATTCTATTCTGCTGTTACACCACTGTGATAATTAGTGTTGTCATGAGCGACCACTGCGTGTTTGCAGTTACTTATCACATAGAGCAGTATAGTGTGGTTCTGAATGTTTTCTGGGAAGATGTTTATGGTAATTGTGACCATTCCTGATATTTTGTTGTGTATACTCAAGAATTGCAGGACTTAAATTTGGAATATTTATGGTCAAAACTGTTCTTTGGTAGTTTATACTCTGTTGTCTTCTTTCGGAGAAGCCAAATTAAGGTTGAATGGTTAAGGAAATGCAGGTTCATCATTTCACATCATGATGGACAACTGTAGTTTGTCTACTACTGCATCTCTTAAATAATATATGATGAAATAAAATCTGTACAGTTCTTTTTTTGTTGTTTGTTTGTTTGCTTAGGTAGACTTAAAGGTAAACAAGCAATTAGCTCTGTTTGAAAAGAGACTGGGGAGATAATTTTACTATGACTTACACAGCTCCAGATCTGTAGGATTCTCTTTGAAGTTCTGCCATTGTTTCTAGTGTGAATTTGTTTGATGTGTAGCAATATCGTTTACATTCATCAGGTGACAGATACTTGATCATTTCATGGATCTTTTTGCAAGTTCAGTTGCTACAAAATAAATATAAGATTTTCATTTTCTGTCAACTATCCAGTAAATTTGGTCTTGCTGATGTAAGGCTGATAAAAATGGGGAAAACTAGTTTTGTTTCTGATAGTGTTTGGTTATCTGGTTGTTTCTGGTTAGTGTTTATTAATAGTCAACTTCTGTGACAGGAAAAAATAGATATTGTTAAGCACTGAGGCGGTTTTGCGTTGCCTTTTTTTGGAAGAGGGTCAGCTTTTGTTCTGCTCTGAATGCACAGAAGAAAGCTGAAATTGTTACCATTGCTGATTACTGGATATTAACATTTTCATGGATCAGCAAGGGGGATGGCCTTCATGATGGTTTTGCTGTCCTGCTCCATCTAGTGGAATACTTAATTCTGCATCATGGGCTGTTGAGCCAAAAATAAACCTGGTGCAGTGCTAAGAAATTACTGGTTTCTTTTTCTGAGGTACCATTGCTGTCTGTTCTAAAAATGTTTTAAAATTCTAATATTTATTCAATAGTAAAATATATTACATTATTTTCTTGCAGAAGGAGCTTTCTAATTGTTAGGTACCTCTTGTGGTCTCTGACATTTTTGATCATGCAGAGTTGTTGTTTTTAATTACAGAATATGCAAATTAAGTTGTTGGTTTTTTTTAATGGGAAAATGTTTTCTTGGAGCTTAACATCACTTTGAAATTCTGAACTTGTTTTTATCAAATTAAATTTTCAAGGGACCTGACAAAAATTACTTATTGAAAAATCTGACATGATTGATAACTTGAAATGAACCTGCTGAGCACATTCTAAAAACATGTAGCAAAGGCAAAATACAAAATATAGCTGACATTTATCAAGTGAAGGCTATTTCAATTTACTGTCATTAGGGCTTATAGAACTTAAAAGACAATGTTGAGCAAACTGTGTTAGGCTTGCCAGTTCTTTGAGAGAAGGGTGTTGGGTTCTAAACACTTAGCCCATTTGAAGCCCCTGTTAAAACAGGAAAGGTACAGTTAAAGTGTAAGGATAAAAGTGGCTTTTCTTTTTCAGGATCAGTCTAGCTTCCAAAAATCTCCTTTTTGCTCTTGAAAGTGGATAAATTCTTAAATATTAATAGATTCTTTGTTTGATTAATTACTTTAAAATTCTAAACAATGTTTCTTGTTCACAAAAATGAACTTCTTGTAGTTCTTTGTAAAATTTTATTATTCTTTTTTAAACTTTTTTTTAAAATGTGAATTGCTTAGTGTAAAGATTGGACTAATTTAATGTTCTGCATTTTTAAAAAATATTTTTTTTTTTCACTCTTGGAAGTGACACAGTTATATATAGGAAGCTTATATAGGAGATTCTGCCAAATGTTTAAAAATAAATTTTGTCTATCTTCCAACAGGGAACAATGATGAGTGTATGTCTTGCAGGGCTTGCTTTGGCTTTCAGAAATGTTAATACCAAAACAAGCTTAATTTCTCTTTCTGCCAAACTTGTATCAAACGTATGCGAAGCTTCTTCAGGGGTCTTGAGGAGTTAGGGGCTGGTCTGTAGGATGGGTCTGTGCGGGGGGAGCGGGCACAAGGCAGGGCAGGGGGCAAGGCAGCGTTCTGCCTGCTGCCTTCTGGGACCTGTCATGAGGCCATTCCCTCCTCTTCTTGCCATCTTGTGTTGGTGGTGTGATGGTGGCAGTGATGGTGGTACTGGGAGCCTAATTGGCTTCTGTTTGGCTCTGCTGCTTTTATAGTTCGGCTGTTCATGGATAGGGACTGATTCTCTGTGTAGGCAGCTGTTGTCCCACAGAATGTCTTTCAGGTAAGGGCTGTGTGGCATAGCTGCAGGAGGATTGAGCATCTTGAAAAGAAAGATGCTGGGGAGATGGAGGCTTGTTGCAGAGTTTGTGCTGAGCAGAGAATGGAAGTAGCTAATGAGTCAGGAGCTCTGCTAGATGAATAACGGGTAAGGGGAAGGCCACTTGTTGCTGCTTGATCTTTCCCAGGATACTGGGAATGAATATAATTCTCAACCTAAGGTGTTGTGTGGACCTAACTCAGAGGCAGGTGTTTAGAGTCTGTGCAGTAACTTTAAATACTCCAGTACTGTCTGCTGACTTGCTACAATTTTTCAGTGTCTTCCCCAAAAGAAGTGAACATTAACATGCACTATTACCATTGCTCCACCAAGTTCCTGATCACATTGGCTCAAATAGACAACTTCACACAAAGCCACAGGTACCATCCTGGCTTTCCATTTAACTGCAGTTGTGATTTTTGGAGGTGTGAAGCTGGGAGGGCTGGCCAGTAATCTCATCTTTTGGAGAGCACTTCAATATCCTGCCCTTTATCCTCAAGCTCACTGGCTAAATGCAGATGTCACTTTGGAGGAACCCTGTTCCTTTTGAAAGAGTAGCTGCCTCTACTCATCATGAGCTTTACTGTACTTCCTGCCTAGACGTAATTTACAGTCTTGAGAGGCAGAGAAAGAAAAGGGGGTTGTCATCAGTTTCTCTCTGAGAGGAATCTATTTTAGCTGTGAGGAGGGAGCATTATCTATGAGGAGACCAAATTTCATTGCTCTTGTATCTTGTAGGGATGTATGCAGAAGAGAATGAATGTTTGTTCTCAAGCTGCCATGTGACACTGCTCTTGGCTAACAATAAACAGAAGAACACAGAAGCGTCTAGAATATAGAAAACCTCAAATGGTGCTAAATAAATTATTTACCATCCCTTATATTTCTTCCCTGAAGGCACAGGATTGCACTTTATTTAGAAAATCTTAGTTAATATTATGAATATAAGAGCCATATTTACTGTAATGTGCCAAGACCTGTTTGTCAAATATATGCCTTCTGTCAAATATAAACAAACATGATACCTTTGAAGTGTTGTTGTTACTAATATGTCTACCTCAGTTTTTGAGGAGCTCTCTTCTTAAAGCCTCATGTTACACAGCAATCAGAGTAAATAGAATCTCTCCCATATGAATGTGCTGTCTGTGGCACGTGGACAGCACTGTCCTGTCAGATCTGACTCAAAGACTCTCGATGTCCTGAAGAAAACTGCTTTCATGTCAGTAGCCTTTGCTTTAGCTATGTGGCAAATGGAAAGCAATGTACATGAGCCTCCTAGTGCTTTTTCTATACTTGCTACTACTAGGCTGTGCCCACAGATCCTTGAGCTTTTGCTTTAGTTTGCCTTGGCCATTGATTCAATTTTGTGCTTCGTTTTATGCTGTGCTTTCCCTGCCAGTCTCCTAGCTGGTGCTACCTGGTTTTGACTGGGTTGGAAAAGGAAATAATGTGAGACACAGTCTTTTCAACCTATTTCACACCCTCTGATATCAGGAAGGGCTGGAAGGAGCACGAGGGGAGCCCATTCTCATGCTATTTCCTGCCGCAGGAGTTTCTCCCGCCGCCTGCCATTTCGGGAAGGAGAGAGCACGGAGAGGTGGCTAGTCTAGGTGCAGAGCCACGTTTCTCAAACTTCAGCACCAGCAGAGCCACTCAGATAGGTTGAAACTGTGCCAGGCTGCTCCACAAGAGTTTTATGAGAAGTATTTTTTAAGATGTTTGTTTTTAAAATAGTTATCAAAGAAAGGGGGGGAGTGCAGCTATTAGCCGACTGCTGTGCAGGGCTGCTAAAGGATCAGCAGATGTGGACACACTGTTTTTTTTAATTTCTAATTTGTTATGGGTTGTAAATTCTTTATATTTTTATTAAGATTTATGGTGTGTTTTATTTCTGGATTTGCTGAGTTGTAGAGGGCAATTAAGAGCCCTGATCTGAGCACTTAATGATTTTCTTCCATGTTAATTTCACTTCGTGACAAAGTTCCCTTCATGGCACATGTTGTAAAGTGAGTTTGCTGAAAGTCTCACCTTTTTAAATAGTG